ATAGTATACAGTATACAATGTTGGCAATGCAGCTGCATTAGAAGTAGAAATCACAGATAATTCTTTCCATCCTGATCATTTCACTCATGTCAGTGGAGAATTGAATGCAAGGATAGATCGTGTTCCACCTCATACAAATGTCAGTCATACAGTAGTAGTAAGACCACGTAAGTTTGGATACTTCAACTTCACATCAGCAGAAGTTTTATATAGACGTAAAGAAGATGCTCCGAGCTTACAATTTGCTGCAAGCAGTGAGCCTGGTGAAGCAGTAATTGTGTCCTTTAGAGATTACGATAAACAATTTTCTTCTCATGTGGTAAGCAAATGCTGAATATTACTTTAGGTTTAAATAACTTAGTGATACAACAAACCATAGAATATTTATCTTTCAGCTTGACTGGATTGCATTTGGTGTGATGACGTTGCCTTCGTTAGCTATTCCATTTGGATTATGGTTCTCTAGTAAAAGTAAATACGAAAAATTACTTAAATCTACAAAGAAACATTAAATATACATTTATTTATGTAAGTTATTTGAGAGATTTTTTCGTATAGTTCAAGAAACTTAATCCTTCTGTACAACCAATTTTATAATAAATATTATTTATAAATAATTTTATATTCCCATTATTTTGTGGTAAAGATATAATTTATATATAAATTATACAAATCATTTATTTATGGCAAATAATACATGTTTACATAGTCTCATTCTAATATTACCTATTTTCACTGAAGTATCTTTTTTCATGTACAAACGAAAATTACATGCTGCTTATTATAGTATAGTAAAAAACGTAAAAAATGTGGTACACGTGAATTAGATTCAAACAATATGAAAATGACAAAATATTACAAGTATTTTGATTAATCGCAGTGAATAAGAAACGAATATTGTCCTTGCATTGTTACTTGAGATCGTATCATACATCAAGCAACTAAACTAAATGTGTAGTATTATTTGGAATTAGTAATTACAAAAATTAGTAGTTATACGACTAGGAACCATATACCTTGAATCTGTGAAACAAGTTTAACCAACTTATACTTAAAACATAACAGATGACTTGTGTGTTACATACAAAATTATCTAACATAAACTTTATATTACAGAATGTATGTACATTATCTTATAGTTACTATCTAACAGTAACATTACTGTCATAAGAATTATATGTGAACAATAATATTAATGAAAATAAACTTGCTGCTATAAGGCACCTGTTTGATGATCGAATATTTGTTTAAAAAAAAAGACGTACTTAATACATACATATAATTTCATTAATAAGTACACTATATCTTTACAATGCGCGACATTTTTTTTCGCTTCTGTTTATCAAGTTTCTTATTACGCATTCAATGATCTATTTCGTTTACTTGATGAATAAGGACCACGAGGATCACCGTAAACAGAATCAAATGCAGAGAACGGTCTCATAGGTGTAGTTGGACTTCGTGGAATAGACATATTTGTACTGTTTAATATAGGTGAACATGGAGTACTGGTTTTTTTCAATTGTGGTGGACACTTATCGGCTATGAAAGATAAATGTTGATTAAATAACTGTAGCGAAGTAGATAATTTTAGTTGTCAGAACCACATACATACCGAAAACTGCCCTATTCTTTATATTCAAATCGATGTTTGCCATTTTATTTTTCCATACTGAAAATTAAAACAGATGAGATGTTAATAAAAAGTATACGTGCAGTATGTTATAGAGTATAATATAAAGTAATTTGAAATTAAAAAGACTCACTATAAAAGAAAGTAATCACAATAACAGCAAATGTTCCAAATGTATAACGATGGAAATACATGTAATCTACCCAATGGATTCCAGATAATGGCATGAAATTTTCGTATTTTGTTACGCGTACAAAAAGCTACAGAAAAAACGACACAGATCATTAATTATGAAAAAGTACGTAATTCAGCATTTAGTTTTATGTACTTACAGATATATTTTGCTTTGTGATATCGTTTGCAATGAATACTTTTTGACCTTGAATTTCTTCTTGATTATGCATCAAGCGGAGTTTATACTGCATCGTGGATTTTGAAATGTACTGTTGCGCACTTACAGTCATTCCATCCGGTACATCAATCTAAAAATTAGTAATTAATTCACATAAATAAACAATTCTTTTAACTTAAATTCGAAAAAAAATATCTTGCTTACATTCAGGTGATCTAACACTAATGGCAAGCCGTATATCTCAAGTGTTGCGGTCGGGATAGTTTGAGAATGAATATTAAAAAAAACGATTTCCTTAGCATCAATATAAACAGGAGGAAGATAAGTGACTTCTAAAGGTGTAGCCTCTATATCCTTACTCTGTGCACTTATTTGTATACGACTTTCTAACGTGCTAGACGCAATGTTTGGGGAACCCATTGGAATAACATCACAATAATAAAAACCTGCAACAATTACGAACTGTTAACAGATAATTAACAATAAAGTATATTGTACTGGAAAAATTAATCCCAGCTTACCAGTTGTAATGTCGAACCGCGGTTTGACAAGGAATAAGTCTTTTACTCCAATAGAAGAAGCTGATGAAACAAATTGTAAATTACACGTGTATGGAAATGAATTTACGGTAAATGAACTGAGTGATCTACAGCCACCTAATCCTCTAGACAACACATTGTTTTCCTTAACTTGTTCATCCTTACTTTTGAGTACAAGGGGAACACTAAACATTTCTGTGCCGGTAATATTTCGGCCTCTTAATGGAACAATTGACACCTATTTAAAAAATAATGTGCATGCAGTTTCAAATGAGATTATTATACAGGTCCATACAGCTGACCAAATGCAATACCTTTGCAATAGGTTGAATATTAACTTCTATTTCACCCTGCATATGCGTTGCAAGACTATGCTTTACAACCACATAGCCAACACTTTTCGCTCGACCAATTCCCATGATAGGATCTACAGTCAGCACTTCAGGAGTAGAAGATTGCCAGTAACCAGGATCCCCATCAGAAGACAAAAGAGGCATTGAGAAGCACACTATATCGCCCACTGTTAATGTTGTCTATAACGTAACAAATTCGATTCCTACATACGACTACAGATAGATTAGAATAATATTTAATAAGTAGCACTCATGTAAAATACCTTTGTTGGAAAAACTATGTCACCAATCATCATATGTACATAATCGAACATAGTATTAGGGTATTTCTCATTGTACGCCTTTACGACAAGGTCACCGTTCTCGATGAATTTCGCAGTGACTACATTTTCAGCACTCTTTGTGAATAACGCGAGATCAGCCCGGTTAACTACAGTTTTTGCATCAACTCCAGCAGCATGAAATTTGTTTCCAACGGTATCATAATATTCGAGAACATAATCCAGTTCCATACCCTTAGGTAACATATTTAATTCTTCTCCATTTCGAATTCGCAAAATTGATTTTAAAGACAACATCATATAATGGATGGGCTTGACCTATCAATGAAATGATCAAGTACATAGAGCCATACATTAAAAATACAATATAAATATATTACCTCAATAATAACAGTTATTGACTGTTTCAAATTATAGGCTTCTACATTCACTACAGAGATGACTATTTTTCCAAGATTTTCACCGGCCCTTATAATACCATTTTTGTCAATGGTAACGGTTTTTGATGCAGGTGTTAGAGCGTGTGTATCTTCTGAATCACTTCCATGCATAGTCGACAATACTTTATAACTAGTCGAACCATGCTTATCATGATTTGTTTGCAATTTTAATATAGAATTTGGAGACATTAATATCACCGGTACGTTAATGGGCAATCCTAGATGCATTAAACGTAATTCCTCGAAAATTTCAACTTTTACAGACGTACTGTACTCATTCTTAAAGCCGCCCAACATGTTAGGTGGCATTGTAACATTCAAATAAATCGTTGCCAATCCTGGACTGATCGCTTTTGCTCTCAAAGAAACCTCATTTTGATATCTGATATTAATACCAGTTCCTTCATACATATTGTGTAAAGATACTAAATTGGTATCACTGGACGACCACATAAAACTTAATGGTAGTTGCATAGATCCAATAATAAGAGGAGTTAAATGTTCTGGTATACCAAATGCCCAAAGCGGAAATGTTGCGCCTACTTTAACTCTACTTGTTGGCACAACGATTTTAATTCCTTCCAAATAAAGTACATGTATACCTGCACAGTCTTCGGAGTAAGTGGTTTTATTGCCCTTGGCATTAAGGCCTACAGATTTTACAATGATCTCGGCCTGACCAACTGATTTTCCTTCAAATATGCCATTATACTCAACATTTAAAACATCATTATTCTTCGTGGAGAATTCGATTTCTGCATTCGACGGTCCTCCTGTTGTTTGTACTTGATAAACAGTTCCTACTAATATTGTTAAATTTCTCGGGAAAACTCGCAAAGGAAGAAAGACTTGAACCGTTGTAGCTTCACTTTGAATCTCCTTATCACCTCCTTTGCTAACAAAAGTTAGTTGAGACTCTCCCTCAGTTATTCCGTGTATCATATACCATAATTGATCGTAAGGAAGATTACCCTGTTCACTAGCGGGTAACAGTTTTACGTCTATGAAATCGTTATCAATTTCTGCTTTAAATTCTAAAGCGTTTAAAGACGGCAATTTTATAATATGACCATTAGTGTCATACAGCTTCAGTGCAATTTTTATGCATTTTCCTTTCTCAACTTTGTTTACCGCTTCTACCTCTATTACGGCAAGTTGCTGCACTTCTATTATAGCTTCGGCTGGTTTCGAGGGCAAGCAAAGATCTACTAAAGATAAATTAAGTATTCCATACTTTTTCGGAGTAAGACTAATTGCTTTCGATGACTCTATATATCGAACGTCTGCAATATCATCTGCGTTTAACACAAATTCATAGTAACCGGACCCTTGACTAACTTGCAAATAATATTTTGCAGTAGGATCATTTAATATCATTAACTTATTAGGAGTGATATTAGTATCATTAACTAGAATTATTTCTATAGTAGATTCTATAAGAGGTGTTTCATAGATTTTCCTTTCAGTTTCAATTGCAAAAGGTGGCCATTCAGGTATTATTTTAAATTTACTCAATATATATTTTTGGTAGTCTTTAACTGTTGCCGTTAACGTAAGCGAACCCGAGTGCTTCTTAAAAATTACATTTTGGTAGTAATTTTTTGGTAAAATTACGTGCATATCCGTAATTGTTTCTTCTATGGAAGTAGAAGGCATTTCCACGAAACCTATACTAGAGGGTTTTAGATGCCAATCTATGTGTAAACTTGTAATATTATCGAAAGTTCTACCTTCCTCATCTTTTACTATCGTGATAAGTTTCAGATTTTTATCGCTGTGTGCCATTATTCTTTCCGTATTTAAGCTTATAGGACAATTCTTACTGTCTTTAAATTCAGGCTGAAGATAAATGTTTCTGGGTTTACCGCAAATAATTCTTACTGTTTCGGAAGCGCTAGTACTCTTGCAATTCGGTAATAAAGGAACATTTGAAATTGTGTACGTTACATCCACTTCCCCAAGGGCTCTGCACATTACTTCGAATACGGATAAATCATATAATCCAAGCGACGAATCCTCATATTCGATTACTTCGGCAATTTTTCTCTCCGACACCTGAATTTTCCTTAAGTAACTTTGTGGCTTAGTAGACTGTGGATGAGGTCCACCTCTAAAGACTATTTTCCTTGATGAACCCACAGTTAGTAAACTCTCCTTACTGCTCGGGTGTAATGCTATTAAAGGATCATAGGCTGTTACAGTAATATTATCGGTTAAATATTGACCATTGGCATTGTAAACTACTGTTACATCGGATGTCCCGGTATCTACACTGGTAATCGCTATAACGGCGCATGCAATACCGATAGGTCCCACAGATTTGCTATCATTTTGTACAAAATTGCCGTCTGGAATGTACGTTTCGAAATTGATATCTCGACAGTCGTTAAAAGGAATTTCTTTGGAGTCTGTTTCGTTAATTAACTTTCCATACAATGCAATGTGCAGGTAAATTGATTCTCCTACAGCAGCTTCCATGCTGTATTCAATCACTTTTAATTTTGCAGGGGATAATACGTATACTCTTGCTGTATCTTTATTATATTGGTTTCTTGTCATTGCGACACTTATTTCTGTTACACCAGTTGCCAAAATTCTCATTCCACCGTTTTGTGAAACTGTTGCTATAGATGGATGCTTAGTCGACCATACATAAGATCCATCTCCTCCACTTGCTTTTAAGACTATATCATATCTTGACTTAGCTTTAAAATCCCATGGCACAGCCAATACTTTAGGTTGGATAATGACAGGAGTATGAATCAGAAACTCAGCTCTTGTGGTAGGCCTCGTAACGAGAGAAACTTTTTTACCATATTTATTTATTATGCCATATAAGGTAGCCTCAACAGTCATTGTTCCACATGCGATAGGTACACCAACGATATATGTACCATTTTGCGTTATTAAATTTGGCTCAAAATAATGCTCATCTAATTTTACTGACACCTCGACACCTTCTCCAATGTGAAATTTATGATCTTTGGCATCATATAATTCAACTACAATTTCGTGTGTATGACCAAGTATCAAACCCCAATTTCTGTTAGGCAAAACTACAAGAGTTATGTAAGATACGTCATTTACATTAACTGTAGCAGATGGTAAAATAACAGGGTATTCATCACGGACATTTTTATCATGTAAGAATACTTTAGTTCGCCCCAAGGATTTGGCATATGCAAAATCGTGATCATTGTCTATTTCCAACACATCGGGACTTTCTGCCTCTAAATAGTATTGACTGGATGGCAAACTTATTTCTTCTAAACGACCTTGACGAGCTTGCATTATTTTATACTTAAAGCTATCGTACGTCATGATCGTTATATCCGATGGAATGATAATTAAATTGGCTATTACAATCAACTCAACTTCTATTGGTGGAACATGTTTATATTCTGGATAAGATAGTCTCACCGAAACTTTTGCTGTACCAGTTTTTATGCCTTCGAGTAATACAACATGTCCCTTCTTGCCAAGTGCATCTAATGCAGCAATCGTCGGTGGGGTTTCATAATGTGATTCCTGATAGGTCATGAATCTTAATACATCGTTTGGTATTTTAGAATCTGATATGTGCCTGTCAGCATTGTCTATACTCCAGAAGAATTCCACTCCTGCAAGAGTTGTAAATTCATTTCCTTGTTCATCATAAGCACGTACTTCAAATGCTTCTGGTGCTTCTTCTATATACAGTTCTCTCGTTGTTGTTACAAGATTTAAAGAAAAAATGGCATCAACTATAACATCACATCTCAAAAATTGTCCAGTATTAACATCTTCTGCTAATACTATTGCAGTGTTCCTAGTAGATTCTCTTGTTATTGTTTGAATTAATATAGCAGAAGAACAAGTTCTTTCGACGTTCTCATTTATGGGAATCAATTGGATAATATCGAGTCGTGATGTTGACCAGTGGTAACAAGCACCATCGGTAACTTCAAGTGTAAAATTTACAGCAAAATCATTAAATACCGGTAGCAAAACTCTCGGCACATTTAATTTATGCATTGAGGCGCCTGATATGACAGAAAATGCAATAAAAACATTCACGAAAAACATTTTTCAGGACACTGTACATCGAACGTTATACTTCTTCACGTGTAGTCACTCTAATTCGCTGAACTTGGCGGTCTCTAAATAGCTTTCAAACAAACGATTTGATAGTTATCGATACTAATAATCGATTCTCTCAATTGAATCTTCAATGTTTATACTATTTATTCTACTTATTTTTTTTAGTGATTAGCGGAGAATAATGTTCTAAATACGTACCCAAATAATGAAATTCATGAAAATATACTACATATTTCACTCTCAAGAATATGACCAATCAGGAAGATTAGAAGACGAGTCGGTGAGTATGAGTCACACTCGTGTGAGTACATGCACTGCAGTGCAGAGAAGCAGAAAACATCCATGAGAATAGAGCTTAAGTAAAACTGTTGATTTTCTAAATACTTGCCACTTACATAGTCTTGTTATATTTACCAAAAAGTACAATCTGTTGATGTATCATTTATTTGATACGGTACTTTGAATAAGATTATCACACAACGATGACAACGACCAATATACTTTGAAACGTACCCGAGAAACGATTATTAGTTGATTACTTCGCAGTTTTTAAAAACTACTGTATGTAGAACGATAATTGGCGATATAGATTGTCCCGTTTCAGGATAACTTTAAAAACATTATTTTGGGTATGTTGTAATTTTATTAAAACAAATTAACACTATAAAAGTGAGAATGGCTGATGAAACAGAAACAGTTCGTCTCGCCAACGAAGATATCGAATGTATGGAAGGAGAGATTATAGATGCTGATGATGTAGATGAAGAAGGTTCAGATGGAGTAGTGGTTCCAGAACTTCAGGGTACATTATCCAAATGGACAAATTATATACATGGGTGGCAAACTAGATTTATTGTTCTCAAAGATGGTACTTTATCTTATTACAAATCTGAGCAGGACAGTGGATTTGGATGTCGAGGTTCAATAAGCTTATATAAAGCTAATATCAAGGTATGAATTGGTAATTTCATGTTTGAAAGCGAGTTACGATGTAAAACTGAATTTATTTTGTTAATTAAACTAATTAAAACTTATGATATTACTCTATACTATTTGTTTCATTAGGCTCATGAATTGGATGAATGCAGATTTGATGTATCTGTAAATGATTGTTTAGTATGGTATTTAAGAGCAAGCAATCCAGAAGAGAAACAGCGTTGGGTAGATGTTTTAAAATCTTACAAGGTATTATTTGATAATATGAGTAACAAATAAAGATTATTTAAGTACTTGTATTGATTAAAATTTACATTAAATTATTATTCTTCAATCTAATTACGATTGTTTCCTGTATGCAGTCAGAATCAGGCTATGGAAGCGAAAACAGTCTGAAGAGACATGGTAGTGCCATTTCACTTGTATCAAATACGCAATCTATTACGAGTGCAGGTAGCTTTACTAAGCGTGGAGTTAGAGGATTAAAGGAGAAATTAGCAGAACTTGAAACATTTAGGGATATCCTGATAAAGCAAATTGATACTTTACAAAAGTATTTTGATAATTGTACAGAGAATGCTAAAAATATTTCCTCGAAAGGTATGCAAAGTGATTATTTTTGTTTACATATATATATTAACTTTATTTTATATACATATAATAACTTCATTTTATATATATATATATAACAATTTCATTTGTCTGGTATTCAATTGTTTCATGTTTTCTCATTTTCTTTAATTAATTGACAAATATTTGTTTCAGAAAATAAAGTTGAGACAATGTTCAATCCAGCTGAACAATCTGTAGACTTTAAGGGTGAAGCAATAACGTTTAAAGCAACAAGTGAAGGTGTATTGGCGACTTTGCAGCATTGTGTCGAATTAATGGTTCAACGAGAAGATGCATGGCGTCGTAGATGGGAAAAAGAAGTTGAGAAAAAGCGAAAAGTCCAAGAACTGTACAAGGCTCTGAAAGACCAGGTTGCTATGCAACAAAGTGATTCTCCCAGGCCCCGAGTTTTGATTCATGGAGGTCCAGATTATGAGGTCCGATTATGTAATCTAAAAAGAAAGTCGATATACAATTTATAAAATGATGGGAGATAATACATGTAAACAAAGTATTTATATTTAAGGAAGGTCCACATAGTGCACTCTGTGATGAAGAATTCTATGATGCAGTAGAAACTGGATTAGATAAAATTGACGAAGAAAATCAGCTGAGAGATCGCTTGAAACAAAAGTCAGTTTCAATTTCAGCTACTCCTACAATGTCAGCAGTTAAGCACAAACTTTATCCGGAGGTAACTATTTGATTTAAAACTCGTCTATATCCTAATGTTACCGAATATTTCTATTTTGATCATATTCAGATAGAGAAAATAACGATGGAACAATTGCATTATGCACGTCTTGGAGTAGGAGCCGGTGGTTGGCAATTATTTGCCGAAGACGGCGATATGCGAATGTACAGACGCGAAGAAGAAGCGGATGGCTTGGTGGTGGACCCTTTGAAAGCGTGTCACGTTGTGAAAGGAGTTACGGGTCACGAAGTTTGTGAAATATTCTTTAGTCCTGAATATAGAACAGGATGGGAAGCTACGCTTGAAGACATGACCGTGATTGAAAGTATTTCTAAAGACACTCTAATATTTCTTCAAACGCATAAACGAATTTGGCCGGCAAGTCAAAGGGATGCATTATTTTGGTCACATATACGCCGAGTCTCAGATGATCAAGATCCTGATGCACATGATTTATGGATAGTCTGTAATCATAGTACGGAGCATTCCAAATATCCGGTAAATTTTATATACATGTTAAAATGTCCAATTTCGTGAATAATTCCATGTATGAAATATTTTCAGCCAAACACTGGGAAATGCGTAAGAGTTTATTTAACTGTTTGCCTTGTGTGTCAAACTTTCATTGATCCTCCGCAAGATGAGGAAGAAATAAAAAGAGAAAATATAACATGCAAAATAACTTATTGTTCTGTTGGTTCGTATTATATTATTTTAATATTAATAGAATATTATGATTCATTATATTGTATACTTACTTTTTTTTATTATAGTCAACCCAGGTGGATGGGCTCCAGCGTCTGTTTTACGTGCTGTTTATAAAAGGGAATATCCAAAGTTCCTTAAGCGGTTCACTAATTTTTGTATTGATCAGTGCAAAGATAAACCCATTAAATTCTAAGGGTAACTGGTAGAACTTCCATATTTTCTATCCAATTCCTCATTCATTACACCAAAACTTTTCTGTCTTGGTGTTTTATTGTATCAAAGAGAAATTTAAATCAAGTTACAAATTAAATAATAGAAATTTGGAAACGAAAATTCTCCCAAGTATAAATGAAAGTGTTTTATATACTGTTTTTTTTATTTGCTTAATATGACACGTATAGGTGCGTTTAAGGCACGTTCACACATACATACACACAGCTTATGAAACAGGATACGAACTGTTGCATTGAAAGTGATTTATGAAAACGTAAAAAAATATTATACATATACTTCCAAGATAATTTTATAGTTGTGGGACACATGCGCTAAAGCACTGTTTGTAAATTATATTTACTTCTTTAAATAACAGCTTGTTACTTTATTGTTATACAGAATGCTATCGCAAGTCACTTGTACAAATCTTAACAAATTGGATACATACACATTTATCTCTATTGTTACATTATATATCCAAGTAAATATGAAATTGTATGATACAAATTACATTGTTATTTTTCTTTATACATAAAATGTGTACATACATACTGATACATAATATAAAGGTAAAATGGAGAAACATAATAAAGACTGTTGTAGATTTGCCGTAATTATTTTGTATTCACCGTTTTAATCTAGTTCCTTGCTTAATTATTAGGAAAATCCTTGTCAGTTCATACTTTTTGAGGTACTTGTAAATGATAAACTTGTAAATTTGGATTCTTTACTACAGAACTTTAAAATTACTGCGAAGAAATTTTGTAAGAAATAAGTTTATTTTGGTAAATTATACTCTACGTGCTCTATTTACAACAAAGTTATATGCACTAGCGATTACGTAATAAAGTTATTAGAACATATAGAAGTATATAAATGCGTCTCTATNTATTTATTCATTTGAAAATAGTAGTTTCCCTTACGCTTCATAAGCACCTAATTTCTTTAATACACTAAGACCTTTCTCTTCATATTCTTCTCTCATTATCCATACCGATTCACGATCTTTTGTAATTTCAGCTAATACAGCACCACCCATGAACACCATGTCTTTTCGCCTCGGGGAATCCTCGATTTTCAGTTTGAATTTCTAAAAGAATATTAAACAGTAAAAAAATTATGTTCATCAAAAAGTTACATGAAATGTACAATATATTTTTATAATTACATTTAACTTCGACGTATCGTTCTTTAATACTCTTTGGAGGTAAAGTTGTTTAATTTCTCTTTCAAGCCTAGATGGAAGTCCTGGATACATTGTACTACCACCACTTAATACAATATGTTTATATAATTCACTTCTTATGTCGATGTCAGCCGCTTGAATAGTGCTAAATACTAATTCAGCAATTCCTTGAGCCTCAACATTTATCAAATGCGGCTGGAATAAAGCTTCTGGTGCTGCAAACCTCTCTCCTCCTACTTTTATCACTCTTCCATCAGGTAGCTAAAAAAAATGTACATATGTATAAATTTGCAAACTATTCTATTATTTATTGAGAAAGAATCCACTCACTGTATAGGATTCAACTAGGACTGTTGTCTCAAGGGCTAATTTATCTTCAGTCTCAATATTGTACCCGATGTAACATAATTTTTCTTTTAACATTCTAACCGTTTCAAAATCAGCAGAATGATTAAATGCATAACCACGCAATAAAAGAAGTTTTATTAAATACATCGTAATATCACGGCCAGCTATGTCTAGCCGTCGAGTAAGATGCGGCAAAGCATATTCTTCGAACACCGGACATATATGAGTGACACCATCACCAGAGTCTACTACGACACCACTAATTAATCCTTGAGCATATAATGTAAGTACTGCTTGGATGGCAATGTACGTTCCAGCGAATCCATATTTTTCAAACATCACCTGGAATAGTTAACAATTGCGATTAAAACAATTATGTTTAAAACAGATCCTATGTCACAAAAAGTTTATAATTACAATTTCATTTTACCTCAATCATTTTCTCTCGATTTGTAATAGGGTTCATAGGTGGTTCTGTTAACAAAATTTTACATTCTCTAGGATTAATATTCATCTTTTCTGGGCCAAACGTATAGTCCCACACATGGCACATATCATCCCAATTCCTATTCAAGATCGAGTTATATAATTAGATATTTTATGAGATATGTAGATATATCCAAATACGTACCTAACAATACCATTTTGCATTGGATAACTAATCTCCAACATAGAACGAAGTTTACTTGCTTCATCCCCAACCATTAAATCCTGTTATAATGAGAATAAAATAAATACAATTATGTACATTGTTATGCTATGAAGTATGCACGTTAATGCAAATTGTTAGTACTTCAGTAACGTAACACATTCTAATTTTCTACTAAATAATACAGATAGAACTAAGCACAAATATTAAAAAAATCTATAACTGTCATTAATCATTATTTTTTTTCTTCCAAAATTCATATATGGCCAATAGATAATGTAATATAAAATATTATTTTAGCTACATATGTAAATAAAAATAACTATGACAATAACAATGGCCTACTGGGACAGACTAATAATATTAAGTACATAATACATATAAAACATTTGACTATCTGAGCACTGATATAAATGTACAGATTAGTGTCAAAAATGCAATAAACTTACAGGCATGTTAAGCACATCCTATGAGAGCAAGTGTAAGGACATAGATATATTAGATAGTTGTCAAAAATGTAATATATGTAAAATCCCCAATACAGAGATATAAATTTGGTTTTATTAT